TTATTATTAAATAAATAATATATTTTTCCTCAGATGAATCCATAGGGGTGCCAATAAATGTTGCACACCCATATTTAACAAAGACTTTTTATTGATAAACCTGTGTTGTGTTTGCAATTGTTTGATATCCATGAGAGCAGAGTAAATTTTTTAAACAAAAGATTAAAAGGTTTAACAATGAAGGCAATTTTTCACCGCCTTCTTTGCCCATATTTACCAAATGTGCCAATATTAGTGGAGGGCACTGTACAGTTGAGGTCATATGTTTACGTACGCCTTGCAGAATCTGCAAAATGTTAATAATAAAAAAAAATAGATCATAAAAATTGATACACTATGTACACTACTGGTCAAAAGTTTGGGGACACTCATCTGAAATGTTTCTCATGATTTTAAAAACATTTTGATCTGAAGATTAAATGTATGAAATTGGTGTTCTAGACAAAAATATAATCGTACCAACATATTAATTTCTTTCATTAGAAAACTAACATTTTATTTACAAAAATATATTTTTTAAACAGACGACTCAGAGTGAAATATCCGAAAAGCAGACGATAAGAGTCCGGCATAGGTGGGAACTCCTTTAATACTGTTTAAAAAGCATCTCAGGGAAATTCCTCAAGAGATCGGGTGAGAAAACGCCAAGAATACATTTCTGGAAATTCTAGGCAAAAAGGGCGTCGACTTTGAAGATGCTAAAATACCAAATGATTTTTTATTTAATTTGGATTTTCTATCACAACATAATTCCCATAGTTCCACTTGTGTTACTCCAGAGTTTTGATGACTTTACTATTATTATTATTATTAAAAAATGTGGGGAATATATAAATAATGAATGTGTCTATACTTTTGGTCGGTAGCATATATTTGTCCTTTTTTCGGTTGAGATCAGAGATCACAGCACCTTGCATAAGTTTCACCCACCGTGGACTTTTTCACATTTTTTGTTGTGTCATAACCTGGACCTGAATTTGAGATTCACGCTGGACTCAACTGGGATGAAATGTCATGACACACAATGGCCCGTAATATAGAAATCCGAAACGAAAAATTTGTGATTGCGTAAGTATTCACACCTGTTTATGTGTAGTTCTGGTTCCTAAAATTGTCATGATTACAGAAAAGTTGCAGCTGTAATGACAGTCAAAGGTGGTTCTTTAAGTATTTCCACAGAGGGTGAATACTTATGCAAATGTCTGCTTCTTTGTACAATTAAGCTTTGTGTGTGGATGGAACACGGTGAAGAAGTCACGGTGGTACGGTGTATATGGTTGACGCCTCACAGTCCCTGGGTCCCTGGTTTGATCCTGAGTTGGGTTACTGTCTGTTAGAGTTTTGCATGTTCTCCCTGTGTTCTTGGACGTTTCCTCTGGGATTTCCTGTTTCACAGGTTTGTCTGTCTGAGGTCCTGTGTACTTAAAATTCTGCTCGTTAACAAATCTATTTAACAACTCATGATTTGAATCAGTCCATTATTTGTGTTCATCCTGTTATAGGACTGAAAAAAATTAATTCCAATAACCTCAGCTCTGTCCAGAGATTTGTGCTCTCTCAAGATCACCAGATTAATGCCATGAATTGGTCAGGCAGAGACCTAACATTCCTGATGAGCACTCCGATGGAGATCTTCCCAACCGCCTTCTTTTAATCTCTGGAGCTTTACCAGTGAGCACCAGAGACCAGACTTCAATAATCATCCTTTATTGGGCATCCATCTAAAATCGATAAGAAATCCATTTTAAATCCTGGCCCTGGTCCACTTTGATGTGTCTCCTGAAATATGCAGGCTTTTTGGTCCATAATAGGAATGTGACCACATTCGTTATCATTTCTAAATCCTCAAAGTTTCACTGTGGTCAAAATCTAGATGTGCCGCCAACATCTGGCCAAGCAAATGTGGATGTTCTCGCCTTTTGTTTATGCAGTGAGTAAAAGATGGCAGATGTCTTTTTGCCCAGTCTAGCAGATATTGGTGATTTTCTTTTTCTACCACACCTGCACTGATAAACTAATGAACTGACACAAAACAGTTCTATGTTGGGATTGAACGCTGCCTCGCTTTGGCTAAAAATCATCCGTGCATAAATGTCCAATTAGTTGTTTTATGAGTCTAATAACATCAACTGGTCTATTTCTAATCTGTCCAGTTTCAAGCATACCAGTGCCCACTCTGGCCTCAGACTTCTGTCCTTGGATTACCAAGAATAGTTGTAGCTGATCTGCCTCGAGGTTTAACGTAATGTGCATTCTGAGATGCTTTTCTGCTCACTATGTTTGTAAAGAGTAGTTACCTCGGATACCGTTGCGTTCCTGTCAGCTCACACCATTCCACCCATTCTCCTCTGACCTCTTTCATCAGCAAGGTGTTTCCGCCTGCAGAACTGCTGCTCACTGGATGCTTTTTTGTTTTTCGCACCATTCTTTATAAACTCAAGAGATTATGTGTGTGAAAATCCCAGGAGCTTAACAGTTTCTGAAATACTCAAGAAAAGCCAACCTAGCACCAACAACCATGCCACTGAGATCACATGTTACCCTATTTTGATGTTTGAACTAAAGCACTTGTGATTGGCTGATTAGATAATGGCATGAATGAACAGTTGTACCTACATGCGTTCCTATTCAATGCCACTTCGTGTTTGGTGCCCTTGGAGTAGAGAAGGCTAAGGGTTTTGCTCAAGGACACAATGGCGGTTTGGTGGTCCTGGGGCTTGACGTCACAACCTTCAGAGCCCAGAGCCTTAACCACTGAGTCTCCACCGTCGCGTAATACCTAGCCCGTAAGACCAGATGCACTCATTCTTTACTAATCCTCACATTCACCATTCACACGAGCTTCGCCGCTGTACTTCAAAAGGAGCTGCAGTGCATTAGTGATGTAATCAGTGAGACTAATCTGATCATACGGATCCATTAGTCAGTCTCGCTGCTCACTGACTGAGCAGCTTTTAGACGTCCTGTAATTTTCACCGCTGTCCCATCACTGCAGGCCGCCTTTGTAAGGTTTTATAGCAATCCAGATGTGACGTTTAGAAGTTTAAAATCCTCAATCTCTCTTCTCTTCATCTCACTGCTGATCAATATAAACAGTCCTGATGGAAATGGATCCCAACCGGATTCCAGGCTCAGGAAGTGGAAAATTAGAGATTAAGAGATAAAGAGAAAGGGGCGCCTACTAGCATCAGCAGTCCCTGAGGATTTAAACTGATGCCGTTTAGTGTGTGTGTGTGTGTGTGTGTGTGTGTGTGTGTGTGTGTGTGAATCTCTGACTGAGGAGAGGAGCGTGATGCGATCAGAATACAGCTGATTAAAATTTTCGATTTGTTTGTGTGAGGTGTTATGCACGTGATACGTTAGGCATCACGTGTGTTATCCAAAAACAGATACAAAACAGCAGGTACAACATTAAATATAAGCTGCAAATAATAAGAGATATTCAACGCACAGTACTGTAATAATTTGCACTACAGATTATCAACATGATTTAAAAGCTAATTTAAATTTACTCCAGTATGTGCCATGATGGTGCAGAAAAGCTCAGAAGGGATTCGCAGAGGACCTCTTAGCGAAATGAAAAGTGAGAGTGCAGAGCTGTGTGTGTGTGTGTGTGTGTGTGTGTGTGTGTGTGTTTGTCTTGAGACACAGGATTTCTCTTGAGGGACTCTTTCTGTTCGGCAAAGCCATTGTTTATATAAAAGCCATGAAAAACATCAAAATAGACTAACAATGGCATGAAGGAGGATCAAACAGACTCCACTATTCTTCACTAATATAAATCCATAAACAGTTTTTTCCTTGCTGGCTTAAAGCAGTAAGGATTATAATTCATAACACAGGGGAGTGTACTAACTGAGTTAATGAGAATGCATTTGATAAGAGACTGTATAGTTTTGCAAGCAATCAGCGGATAATGCGTTCTAAGTTTAATAGAACCGATTCTAAGCTACGATGTCGGAAGGGGAACGCTTTCCGACTCGACAGCAGCAGTTTCCTTAGTAGTCCTTTTATAGTTGAGGAGAAACAGGACGCAAGAACGCGGTAATCCATAATCTTAAACAAGAACACAACTGGAGATCAAAACCCGGAAGTCTAGACATGAACTAGCGAATAACAGGCGATATGATCGACAAGACTTCGCAATGAGAGAAAGAAACAGAAAGGCTGAAATAGACAAACTAATCAGGAACGATTACACAGATGAAACAGGTGCACATGATTACGACAATGACGAGACGGGCGGAGACATGAATCAAAACAAACGCACACGATATTATAAACAAAAACAGAAAAACACGGACGCATAGTGCCCATGCTGAGATCTATGATGCATGCTGAGAGGGGGAATTTATTAAATAATATGCCTCATTTATCGATTCTTTAGTAATATGTCAATGTTCTCATAGGCCAAGCTGAAATAAATATTCCGACCAAGCTGAAATAAATATTCCGGCCAAGCTGAAATAAATATTCCCACCAGACTTACAAAAGTTTCAGTAAATTTCTCCATACTCATGTGCGTACTACTGTTAATGGCCAAATGTTTGTAGGAACCTGACCATCACACCCATCCCCCCAAGATGTTTCCTCACCAATGAATTGTGTTTGTATGCTGTGGCAATAAGATTTCCCTTCACCAGACTCAGACCTGTTCCAGCTGTGCAAAAAAAGGCAGGTCTGTGAAGACCTGGTTTGCCAAGGTTGAAGTGTAAGAACTCGAGTGTCCTGTACAGAACCCTGACATCAACACCTCTGAACACTTTTGGGATGAACTGGAACACTGACTGCACCCCAGACCTCCTCCTTCACCAATGCCCTTGTAGCTGAATGCTCATAAATCCCCACAGCCACACTCCAAACGCTACAGGAAAGCCTTCCCAGAAGAGTGGGGGTTATTATAACTTTTATATTTATGGCATTTGGCAAACACTCTTATCTTTGAGTAACATTGATCTCATTTATACAGTTGAGGGTTAAGGGCCCAACAGTGGCCACTTGGCACTAGTGGGGTTTGATCTCACGACCTTCTGAGCAGTAAAGCAAAAGCTTAACCACTGAGCTACGACTGCTACCCCTTTTATAACAGCAAAAGGAGACTAGCTCTGGAAGGGGATGTTCATGCACATGCGAATGTGATGGTCAGGTGTCCATAAACATTTGGCCTTAACGTGTATATTAATAAATACTCGTAGCGCAGCTGATTTACATTTAACGATTCGCACAAAATCTCTTTCTACTTTTATAGGGCACCATTACGTTTATCCGCATTAAATGGCTAGTTTTATTCGTCATTAATATGGAACAATCGAGTCTCACCAAATTGTCATATTAGCGATTCAAACTTGTCAGTGTAACCCATATGAATCGAATCGTTCACAACCTTTCAAAAGTTCACTTTAGTGAGTCTCCATGTATGTACATTTAACACACTCGGGAGTTTCCATAGAATATGAGTATTATTATTATTTTTTTTAATAAATGAACTATTTTCATAAACACTAGATTACTTGTGTAAATGCTCCTGCAAAAGATTTGCGCTCCTGTTCAGATCGGAGGCCCGGTGTGACTCCTCAGAACCGAATCGTCCGGCGCGAAAGTATAAATAATATCTGTGATTTTCTCAGAAAAGCACATCATGATGTACTTTAGTGCATTATCAACATCATGCTTTCATTCTGCCCAACCCTGTGAGGCAAAAAAAAAAACAGAGTCTGTCCGGGGCAAACATGTTACTGACTGATTACAGATGAAGGGAACGGTGCGTGTACAGGTAGATTTTAGTTTTATACCAGGATTTATTACTCAGTTCATGACTGAGGAAGATGTTGAATTAGTGTTTTTTAAATGATGAAATATAACACAACTCTTGTTAGTGCACTGTGTGTGTGTGTGTGTGTGTGTGTGTGTGTGTCTGTGTGTGTGTGTGTGTGTGTGTGTGTAACAGTACAGAACAGAGCATCAGAGGACTTTAACCACGATGGAGCAGAGAGGGATTGTTGCTGTGGAAACGGCACCAAAAGGCCTGATTGGGCGTTGGCTTCTCATGCTGCTCTGAGATAAAGAATTACAGTTAGGGTGGAGAGAGAAGAGGGGTGGAGTCAGAGAAGAGAGAGAGAGAGAGAGAGAGACAGAGAGAAGAAGAAGGAGAAAGATAGACCAGAGCAGTGGAAAACAGAGAAGTGAGAAATATAAATATATATATATATATAATTACATGGAAGGAGATAGATAGAGGTGAAGTAGCTTGGAGAAAAAAGACAGAAAAGTGTGAGGCCGTGGCGCAGAAGAGCAGGATGAGAGGAAGCGTGCGTCTGTCAGTGTAGGATTTCCTCGTCAGCGTGGAAAGCCGAGCCTCGTGGGTTTGTTGTGCATTTATTTCATTTCTTACTAATTTCTGTCGTTTGTCCTCCGCTGGTTTTCCTGCTCTGTAATCACGCTCTGTGTTCCAGCATCTCAGCCTGGCCGAGACAGATTAGTAGCATGACTAACCCTGTGGTAAACTCAAAAATGGCTCACTGAAATGAGACTGATCGCTACAGGAACAGATTATAAAGTATTTAACATGTGTTAAAACATCAGGGCATTTTGATCAAATATGACGTAAGAGGAAAATAAGCTTAAGTTTTTTGTTTTTTATTAAATGAAGAGATCAGAGTTAAGAGATACAAACGAAATGCAATACATGGAAAAACATAGGGGAGGGGCTAAAATAAAATACAAATAAATGTATCGCTACGTAGCATGACTAACCTTGTTACAATGTAATAAAAAAAATATTTTATATTAATAATGATTAAAATAACGTACAGAAGCAAACAAAATGAATTAAAAATGTCGATGAATGTAGCGTTAAATAAATATATATTTTGGTTCTTTTTAAAACTTCTGAGTGTTGATGGCTCACCGTGTGAGATGTTCAGCAGTTATTTTACATGCTAGGACACTCTTGTTTGGTTTTGGAAAGGCTCTGTGAACAGTAGTCCAAACTAATATTAGTTTTAGTATTATTACTTATTATTTACTTAAAACGTCTTTTATTTGCTGTTTTTTCTCTTTCATCAACACTCAAGACAGCTTTCCCAGAAGCAGCCTTTCCTTTCAGCTTCCACAGCCAGACAAACGTAATTCATTTTAAAATGCCCACTCGTTATTTTAGTGATGATAAGTACAGACATTCCTGACAGAAACCGAGCACTTACTTTTCCCAATGCTCGGGAATTCTCCTGATTGCAGGTGCGAGTAGAACGAAAAGATGGAAGGAATGGGACGCCACTTCATATTTACACAGCATCCGGTTTTAAACATCATGTCGTTTTAAAACAAGCTCATGAAGTTTATTAGGGAATTTAGTGCATGTGCAGAGCGCGTTGTGTCGAGGGGGAAATGATATTGGTTGAGTTTGGCCTGGACTGAACAGAAAGGGGTTAATCTATTTAATTCTGCATCCTGTGCGTGTATAAGAGAGAGAGAGAGTGTGAGAGAGAGAGAGAGAGAGAGAGAGAGACTCCCATGCCCATAACGGATGGAGAAGAGCATTGTATGAGATAAGGATGGTTGATCAGGACATGTCAAGAACAGGAAGCCAGATCTGTGAGTGTATGTGTGTTCGTGTATGTGTGTGTGTGTGATTGAGAGAGTGAGAGAGAGTGAGAGAGAGAGTGAGAGAGAGAGAGAGAGAGAGACACACACACACAGACATATCAATTTAAAACAAGCTCATGATGTTTATTAGGGAATTTAGTGCATGTGCAGAGCGCTTTGTGTTGAGGGGGAAATGATATTGCTTGAGTTTGACCTGGACTGAACAGAAAGGGGTTAATCTATTTAATCTGCATCCTGTGCATGTATAAGAGAGAGAGAGACAGAGAGAGAGGGAGAGAGAGAGAGAGAGACAGACAGACTCACATGCCCGTAACGGATGGAGAAGAGCATTGTATGAGATAAGGATGGTTGATCAGGACATGTCAAGAACAGGAAGCCAGATATTTGGGTGTATGTGTGTTTGTGTGTGTGTGTGTTTGAGTGAGAGAGAGAGAGAGATTTTCATATGCTGTGCAAGCATACTGTGTGTGAACAGAACATTTAGTCGGAGATCACAGAGTTAGATGTCTCCTCAGAAATAAGGTATAGAATGTTCGATTGCTTCGTGCACTCAGACATGAACCTGATCATCTCATCCAGATGAAGAATTCAAATATCGTCCGTGCAGTAGGTCAGACAGGAAACGTTTAAAGACGTTTCCCAAATTGAACTGGGATTGAAGAGCGCCTGATGCAGATGGGTCCCTCGGCCACTGTTTGCCTCACTGGCGATAAATCATGTCAGTAGAGCAGCTTTAAGTTGGTTAAAACGTCAGTGTGGGGGTGTTCATCGGGACGTCCTTCACGCCTCAGTGACTCCCAGCAGAACCATATAGACTAACTAACCAGCTGGAACTAACCAGTGGAGCAGATAAAGGAATTTACAAGAACAGACAATGTAGATTTAAATGAGAAATAAGCCAAATTAATACTGTTGTGCTTGTGGATTTCTGTGATGATATATTGTCATAAGAGAATTTGAATTAATGGTCTAAGTACAGCATGTCAGGTGAAAGAGGTGAATTCTGCTTTGAACAATATTCGAGCAATAACTGAATCCTCACGCAGCTGCTGCATTGTTATGTGGGGTTTGATGTCCTTTTGGAAATAGTAAACCGTAAGCACATACCCTGATGTACTGATGTCTACATGAATGCGGATCAGTTTGAAAACGCGTCTTTTTCTCTACATTTTGGCCTCCCGTTCACTCTCTACGTTTTGGCCTCCCGTTCACGTATTTTCTTTTTGGTCATGTGACGCAATCATGTTACCCATTCAGCTAAAAACAAACAAGGCGGTGGATGATGTTGTGCTGAAGTTGTTGCGCCTGCTATCCAGTTTGATCGCTTTGTTAAAGATTATTGTCGCTTTGTACAACCTTCAGATTCGTTTTTGAAATAAGCAGTGTAGGGATGTAAGCATTCTCAGACATTTCAGCGTGGACGAGGAGTTTTTGGAAAACATTTGAAAACGCCAGTATAGATGGCGAGTGTTTGGAAATGGAAATCCACTTTTTCCGATCTATCAGGATTAATTTTAACGAGGTTACGGTTCATAAAATAAATTTATATAGTGGATTTTTTTCAATTACAGTTAAAGGGTCCCTGATTGTAAAAAGTTTGAAACATAGGAAATTGTTATTTCAGTGCTATAATCTAAAGGTCGTGAGTTCAATCCTAGGGCAGTGATGGCTCAGTGGCTCGAAACTGTAAACTGGCTTCTTCTATTTCTTTATTTTCAGCTCAGTTTGTTATCTAGAATTATTTCCCAACCCCTGCCATACTGGTTTGAGCAGTAATTGTACTGATAACGATGTCATGTCTTTCCTCAAATAGTACATAATCGAATCCTGAGATAAAGTCTGTCCCATTCACAGACATTATAAGGAAATATCAGTATCTAATATCTACAGTTGAGTTTAAGAAGCCTTTATTAATTTAAAAAAAATTGTTTTGGATAATCATTTTGCATACATTTTAATCGTTTCCCCCCATTTTCTTTGCTTTACATGGTACTGAAACAAGAGATATACTATTAACCACTAACACAACACCCCCCAAAAAGCAGTGGGAAAAAAACATGCTGTTTTTGCCGATAGAGCATCTTTCTCCTCTTTCCCATCTGAACGGAAGTGAATTCAGTAAGCCCGCAGGCTCTCAGACCATACTCACAGTTAGGTGAATGTGCTCATGTCATCAAATATTCAAAGCTGTTGTTTCTGCATCTTTAGATGAAGTTGAAATGCAGCTAATTAGCACGTTTAGCACTGGACGGTTCCTCTAGGCAATCTAATGTTCTAATGCTTCACTCATTACTCCGAATGCTAATGGACAATCCTCTAAAATATTAAATAATCATTAAGCCTTTTTCTTCATTTAATAGTTACAAAAAGTCTGCATTCACGCTGAAGAACAGGTTATATTCAACTGGTGATACATCATTGTAATTGTACATTTGACTCTCTTAACAATTAGCATTGATATTAACTG